TCGGAGAGCGTGCCGCGCTAAATTAGCGCACGCCATTTTTTTTCCCTCCAACTTCCTCTCGTCAAGAATCTTAGCTTTCGAAATCTATCTGGAGACAATGTATTTACTCGGAGTAGACTCTTTGCATCCGATTAGAATATACAAACAAATCAGCAGTCAGTTTTCTCGTGTTTCTGCAGGTTCTGCACCGTACTCCTTCTCAAGCCATTGTATTCAGGAAAAGGGTCGAATGTAAGACAAGACGACCATTTTGAGGTTTGTCATTGACCTGTCTACACATCGCGATTCAAGAGACTGTCATGTGGTAAATGCTGAAACGAGGAGCGATCCCGGAAAAGGATTCATTGAAGACGCGCAAAGACGTAACGTTTGGTGGATGTCTGCCAGGCTCCACCGTTTTTCGAAATTTGATGACTTGAGAGTACAAAGTAGATGTGTAGCCTAGAGTATATCATAAACGTAAGGGAAGGTGCAGCTTTGGAGAAACCCTCAAAAAAGGGAATTACGGAGGTCTGAAAAGTTGTTACCATATTTATGGCGCACCCTGTGTATGCACGTTTTCTAACACTATGTACAACGACGGGCTGCTATCACATTTCAAAACATCCCCCAGGGGGTAGAGGTCCAAAGTTTGCTCTCGAGCTCCTCGCGTGTTGCACGAAGGTATCTTCCTTCTTTTCTTCCTAGTCATACGGATGAGTCAAGTGAGTTGCGATATGTAAAGCAGGATGGCAAATCCTCCTTGCTAATGAAGTCGGGCAGCTTATGAGCTTGCATGTGTGGACTGGAGCTGGGAGGACTACGAGTTGTTTCAGACGGCAAAATCTCATTGCTTTTTCACGTCCATGGCGCTTTTTGAGTACAGCTCAATGTCAATTTCCAAATCACTGGCGTCTCAACCTTGCCAGTGACTCCCCCCAAAAAACATCATCGTCCTGTTCTTATGGCAATGTTTTTGCAGGAGACTGCATGTTCCATTTCCATAGCCCGAACGAGATCGTTTTATTTGCCGAGGAATGGTTTTTTCGTGAAATTTGTTTTCAGTCAGAGAGAATAGTGAAGGGCTGCGTGTCTCCACTCAAGAAAGTTACACCTTTCTGCATTTTGTGACCCTACACTGTCTATTGAAATCAGAGACGAAGCGACATTCCTGCATACGATAGGAACGATAGAGCTTTTGCTTGACAATCCGCCCCATCGACAACACCGATAAGTCCTGCTCCTTTGCAGTCTTTCCGATGGGTCACCCAGAATCTATCTTGGGCAACAATGGCCTCTCCATCCCTTCCTAGTTTGTCTTTGATTAAATTTTTCTCTCTATCATTCAGTAGCCTTCTGTACGGTTATTATAGGAATCACGAAAAATTCCACAATGCCCTTCTGCCGCTCGCATGCCACTGATTGCAAGTAGCATTGAACGAGCCTCCGGCATCTAGGAGATGTCGGGAGTTTCACTTCAGTAGCCGCGCATATTGCAAGAAAACCTACTTGTGCAACTAATTAACAGTGAACTCAATGAAATACTGCGAGGTTTCTGAACTTTGGCGCCCATAAATTTGGGACACCCTATACATGCAGATATGCCTTCTAGTGTCTCACAGAAAGCACTTTAGTAATGATAAATTTGAAATGGGGCCAAGGTGGTGTAGTGGCAAGCGGCGCACTATCACACAGGCACGGGTCAGAGTCTCGGATCGATATCAGGACAACCGATCCTTGAACATAGGCTTGGCACCGCTAGGCATATCCAATCAACAAAAGACAATTACGTTTATGAATGGAGCCAATTGCAGGGGCGCATCGCTCAGACGGTATTGATCAAGTTTCAAAGGCTTGAAAACTTTTTAGTCACTGATCTCCTTACCGAGGTTCCTCTATCACTAAAAAATCTCTAGCCGGTTGGTAAGGAGGCTGCGTGACACGACCCCAAGTGGCGGATAGTGGAGCAAATGGCTACTTTGCGGTGGATGTGGGAGTCATCTGGTGGACAGTCCCTTAATGAAAGAGACTATATTTTCACTCTCGTCTTCTCGTCTTCACTTGGAAATCTTGCCTGACTAGCGTCACTGGTGTCTCGAAGATCTACACGGGATAGGACCACTGTCGTCTCCTTCGCGCTAGATTCTGTTTTTCAGTGCGTGGAGAGAGCGATGAAGTTGAAGAAAGAAGCCCCAAGGTCTTCATCAGCTTGGACTACTTCGCTTCTCTTGCAAATCTCTGGGAGGATTCTGTTAACGACAACATAGATGTAGAATATAACCAATTCGCAGTATATCCTCACGATAGTGCTAGGAAAGCAGAGAGTAGTCAATAAAAGTAGTCGAGGGGTCTCTTTTCGAAGACTCCCGAGCTGATACGTCTGCATAGAATCGCGCGAGCTACGGGCAGTCATCAACAAACTTGCGTACTTGAGAGGCTATGCAGAGCAGCGTTAAAGGAAGATCTGAATGAGGGAAGCAGTAATGGAAGAATCTGCGAGGCCACAAAGAGTATTTGCGAAGTCTGACAGAGCTTTGTCAATTACAAGAGCAGGGCGATTTATCTTCGTGGTCCTGGAGGAACACCACTCCATTTCGAAAGAGTAATGGGAAAAGTCATCTACGACTTCTACTCGTATTTCTTCAACAGCCACACGTCTACCTTCCTACCCACTACCTTGGGTAGGACGATTATATCGCTCTTCTGGTTATTCCTTACAAGAAATTCCACATGCCACCTCGTCGGCGAAAAATCGTACGGCACCGCGCGCGGTCCCGATAGGACCGATCCAGAAAAGTTTTCCACAGCTCGAGCCAAAACTTCGGCTGGGCTCTTCATGCGGCAGGTGTCGAAATGATTGCACGTCGTGGAAAACTAGCAACACTATGTTGATGTATAATGGAAGAGATCTCGACGATATTGGCAACTATTTTCCAGTGCCTGCCTGCTGTCTGTAATGTACAAATGTTTTGCAGTCATACTCAACAAAAGTGGCAGAATATAGGTGAAGGACCAGCCGTGGAGCAAGCTGGGTTCGGAGAGGGTTCAGTACAATCGACACATCCAAACTTATGCGAGACACACTGAAGTTTCACGAGAGTACAATAGGCCATTATGTTTCAATTTGAAGAAGGGGAAGGCGGTGATAGGAGCCCTGAGCAATGGCTGTTTCATAGTCCGCCGGCCGGTTGGCCGGCGCGCCGGCGCACAGACGTAAAACGAATTAGTTCGTATGTAAGAGAACTAAGTCTGTTGCATTTTATTTCGCGGTCAGAACAGGTCAAAACCGTGAAATAAAATGCAACAGACGTAGGTTTCTTACATACGAACTAATTCGTTTTACGTCACTGCGCCAGCGCGCTGGCCGGTCGGCCGGCGGACTATGAAAGCAGCCAGCCAGGGCGTTCCTACTCAACACTAGGATACTTCTTGAACTCTACAACAACTTCACGATCTCACCACTCCAGGATCTCACCACTCTATAAAAGTCATTTTAAACGTGACAAGAGGGGTCCGGCAGCACGAGGAAAACACATACAAACTTTTCAGTGTCGCTATCGAGAACTCCATACGTCATTTAAAATGGGAAGACTTGGGAGTGAGGTCGTTGGCCGCTACTTGCGAACATTGAGACGGCGGAACGAATGCAGTCCAAATTCGCCAGCGTTCGTCATGTGGAAAGATCCGCTCAAGACTGAACTTGTCAAGGACGATGTTCAAGACCAGCAGACGGTACCTTGTGCTTTTTCCACGCTAAGCAGAATGCCTGATACCTCGAAATGCATTAGCTGTATCTAGATCGATTAGTCAACATGATGAACGACGTAGCTTTAGAACTGAGCAAATGGGAACGCGCCGCGTGGGGAGCATTCAGGACTATCGAGGGCTAGTGAAGAAGACAATGAATATCCGGCTCCGACCTCACCTTTTCGATACTGCTGTTCTTCCTGCTTTGACTTATGCATCGGACACTTGGATTCTAATTAAACAGGATGAACATGCTCTCAGGATCGCTCAGGGTGCATTGAAAAGAACGATGCTCGGATATTCCCTATGCCTATGCAAGTGCAAAAGGGAATCCGAAGCTCTGAGCTCCGTCAATGAACGATGATTAGGGATGCCGTTGATTACGCCAAGAAAGTCGTGAGCCGGGCACGTCATGCGATATTGTGATGACAGTTAGATCAAGGCGACTACTAACTGGGTTCCTTGTAGCATCAACGAACACCAAGATGGCTGCTGGCGCGATGATCAGACCTTCTCACAAAGTTCTAAACGAATGGAATACTTTGCTCCATGTCGCTCCAGCAAGGACCGTCCACTGGACAAATACAAATGGAAATGCACTGGCGCGCGCTCGAGGAGGCCGATGATCAGCCGATGTGATACAAGCGATAAAGTTTGCGAAACCAGTTGAAGTAATATGCTGAACGAGATTGTCACGACGACATAGTATGGTGTACGGTCGGTTGGCAGTGCATACATTCGAAATTCGTGGTGGTGTGCGTTACATATGGCCATTCTCTAATACTGTTATCATTTCAGCATTCTTCTGCTATGGGAAGGTATTTGAGAGACTTGAGTTGTTGCAATTGCGCGAAGATTTGACGGCATTAGGCTAAATTGGTCCAGAGTCGCTTTTGTCGCTTTTTGCTGTCGCTATAGGTCATGACAAGTTGATTGAGGTTGCTACATGAGTCCCCTTGGGAAAGGTGCAGCCTCTATAATGCCGTCGAAACTCCGCACTACACACAGGACAATCTTTGAGCCTTTGTGACACCCTATCTCAGCCGTTTTCTGTACAGCGTTTAGAAATTTATCCTAACGATATATCTTCAAAGACATTTTTATCGTGAACTGAGCCTCTGAATCAGTTCTGCAGTGTGCAAAGGAAGCATTTAGTGAGGCAAAGGAGACAAGGCTGCATGGTTTTGGAACGATGAAGGTCAAAGAGTCGCAAAACAGAGGAAGGACGCGTACAGTCGCCGGCAAAAGGCGAGAGCTCCGAAAGACTTGGCTGCCTACAGAAATTGCAAGAGGCTTGCTATGCATGCCCGTAGAAATGCAAAGGATAGAGAAATGAACACCTTGAATGAGAAGCACGATGGCCGTGAAGGAGAGAAGTACGCCTTTTGGCTAGCCGGAGCCCGGTATCGGGCTGCTAGGACAATGGCGAGGACGGATGCAATTCGAAGAAAGCCAACTGAGGTCAAGTCCGGCTTCAAGAGCACTTCGATGGACTTCTAAACAAAGAATTTCACCGTAAGAATATTTTTCAAGTAGAAGCGACGGCTAGTCCCATCATACTCTAGAGAAAGGGTGGGATTCGTCGAGCAAGACGAAGGTTGGGAGGGCGACTAATCCGGATAGGGTGCTAAAAGAAGTCTGGAAAACGCTCGGAGAGTAGAGAGATAATTGGCTTACTCAATTCCTGAACACTGGGACCATCGAAGAAAGGATCCCAAGTGCGTGAGCGGTACCCTCGTTCCCGCCTTCAATCAGAAGAGTGACACGAGTCGACTCAGGGAAATGAAAATTGGTTCCGATTTCACAGGGGAGCTTCCGCTTCATGCCAAAAGGTTTTCATCTCTATAGCAAAACAAGTGAAGGAGAAGTATTGACAAAAGCGTAGATCCTTCTATTTAGCCTTCCTCGATCTGAAGAAGGCTTTCGACATTCTTGTGCGACCAATCCTCTGTAGAGAACGAAGCTTTTCGGAACATCTGACTTCCCTTGTGAACGACCATTACAACCATGCGCACTCGTTACGGTCTTACAAAAGGAATAAAAGTAGCGGTTGGGGTACAACAAGGAACAGCTCTGAGTCCGTTCTTCTTCCTACTAACTCCGGGTATTATTACAAAAGGATTCCTGGATGGACTATTGCAGACCATCTCCTACGCTGACAACATAGCTCTAATAGCGGAGAGTTGAGAACAAGATGCATACGTGGCAGAAACTTCTGGCAGAGAATGAGCCAGAGGTCTCCTGATTGTGAGAAAAGAGAAAATTTATAAGCTCAGAGAAGTGGGAGAACCAATCGTTGACTGCCGCGACTCGACCATGTGAGAAACGAAGAAGTCAGGCTGCCATGTAAACGGCCATGGCCAGCTGAAGTGGGAGAGCAGCGTCCGACCCGCGAGGAACCGCAAAGAAGAGGTGGCAAGGAGGAGCAAAAAGGAGCTTGCCGAGGTCAAGGTGACACCACAAGACACTGTAGATAGATCGAAATGAATTCGGCTAACGAGAACAGCGAGATCTGTGACTGTGCAAGATCAACGCCAAGGAGAAGATTATGGAAATCAATCGCCCGCCTCTGTTCGGGCTAGAAGAGTCGTCTACTTCCCAGAATCAACTGATAGAAACAGATTTGACTGAAAATGATAGCATCTTGCAAGTCGACGTACAGGCATATTGGAATGCTCTTGCGACTTTGAAAACAAGCTGACTGTATTGCACCCATCGGAATGGGAGAGATTATGTCGAAAAGTTTAGTTGTTGATCCCAAATCATTTAAAGAAATTCGAATGCGCGATCAAGTGAGCTTTTGATACAAATCTAGAAAGAAATATTAAATCCAAATAGTGTAAGATTCTCGATGGAACAGCGAAACTTAGTAGTTCGATTTGAATGATTTGTGATCGATATTCAGATTCTACATTGCTATTATATTTCTACATCTACATTAGTAAATTCTTTCCCTACAAATTTTGCATCCTTCACAGCGCCTGCTCTGACCTAATGTTTGCTGTTTACATCGCAGCGTTCTCATCGCCTTCACTACTACTGCATTCATTACTGTTATTAGAAAATATTCCCGCGGTCTTTTTCGAAAATTCGCTGAAGCAGCGCAGTTCGCTAGGAACGATCGGTGCTGAGGAGTAGCGGTGACTCTCGGAACTCAATTTTTCCCTATTTCGCTTTATCAGTACTAATTGAGGCTCGTTACGCACAAATCCATGAAGCTATCCACACTCCAAGTTCCGTTAATGTTTGGAATTGCTATTGTAATTATGTAAGACACATGAGATCATGGTACAAGCTGACGCAATCATGTAGAATAATACTAATTTGATGTAACATACCCAATCAATATGAATTGAGTAATTCTTGTATGAATGACTTTCATAATAAATGAGGTATGACTGCTCATAATGGGAATCTGTCGGATCGCAGAGCTGATGCTGGACTCTCCTCCCTTCTGTTTGAAGCTTTTTTGCCCTCAACTATAAGCTTATCCAGCGGAATATGAGTTGAAAAAACTAACTGCAGAGTTAAGTCAATGTCTCCCCATGTCAGTTTTTTCCGTCTCCAACTATATGCTTATTCAGCGGAACATAACTTCGAAGTGAACGAAACAATCGAAATATGTCGGCGCCTAGTCAGATAATAATTGAAAAGTTTCATGATTTTCAGAATGATGGAAACATCACCGGAAATGTTCCTGATTGTACTGGCGGTAGCAATGTGCAGCATTTTATTCTGCTTCACTATTGGAGTGGTTGTGATTTTTCGTTGCTGTGAAATTAAGGAATTAAACTTGCATGATCTGCCTGCAGTGATGCTAGAGGTATGAACATTGCTATGTATTAGGTTGATGCATAATTATTGTGGATTTTTTCAACAAATTTTGCTTGGAGAAACGATAAAAATATTGGGTTGTCCGAAAAGTTCACGGCGATTTTTGATTCATCTTTTAATGAAAATTCCTAAAAGAAGAGATCCATTGATTGAACAATATATCCTCCATTCTGTTCAGTAAGGACTCACCAACTTCCTATAGGTTCCAGTTCCCCTCTTTCATAGAAGGTTCCAGACTTAAAATCGAAAACCCACTTAGGTGCTTTTTGCAGTGCTCCAGCGAGTTAAACGATTTTCCATCCAAAGAATTTTGCAGAAACCTAAACAAGTGGTGTTCCGACGGTGCTATGTCTGGACTATATGGGGGTGTGGTAAGACATCCCACCCGAGCTTTAGCAACTTTTGACGAGTGGCCAAAAATACGTGTGGTCTGGAGGTACCCTGTTGGAAGATTACGCCCTCACGATTGGCCACTTCAGATCGCTTTTAGTCTATCGCTGCCTTCATATTTGCTAGCTAACTATAGTACCTTTCCTAAGTCATCTTTTGATTCATGGTGAGTGATTTCCCTGGAATCTCATCAGCAACTTGGCATAGTCATCCGCACCTGGATTTTGACTTTTGCAGAGGTTTGTGACGGCTCACGAGGGGGCTCCATGATCGTTTCCGCTCCTCATTGCTGAACACAATCCGATTTTCGTCTCTCGTGCTCATGCGTTTCAGAAACGGCTCATTTTTATTTCGTTCGAGCAACGAGTAGCACATGGAGGCGCGGTCCATCGCATTGCGCTCGCTCCTTTCGCGAGATATCTAAACATCAAGGCGCTTTACAAAACCAAGCGTCTGCAGATGGCCATGGATGGTTAACTTCGAAACACTAAGCCCTTGCCCTACTCCACGAGCAGTGATGTTCCGATTTGCTTTGGTTAACATTTTGAGTTGATCGTTTAAACTGATGATGGTCTCCCTGAGGGTTGCCGGTCTTCGAAGGCAAATTCACTCTGTTTGGATTCCGCAAACTAGTCATGCACTGTACGTTCCTCTAGGGCATGGTCTACACAAATCTCATATATCTTTCATGCGGCTCGAGCCGCATTCTAGGCCTTGCGGTAAAAGAAATACTTCAGATGTCGAAAATGCGCGTAGTAGTTCTCCATTTTCATACGAGTCCTGCACAGAAAAACTTCGACAGATCTTGACAGTATCCTAACAGGAATATAGAGGAGGATCTACTCTTCCAGAAAACATATAATTTTATTAGGTTGGATCCTTGATCTTTTGTACAACGGTTGATAAATCCGGGGTGTCAAAAATCGGCGGAAACTTTTCGGACAACCCAATATTTATCAAAAACATGCTCAAATAATTACTACGGAACATATCCACCATCTACGCCAAGCTTTGCTTCTCATTTGCTAGGCATTCGAATTCTGCAGGCGGAGAAGTTTCGCTTCTTGAAGGCGATCCACGCCTTGACGTCGGCCACCAAGCCATCCACTTCGTCGAAAGTTCTGTTCGCTCGCCGATTTTTCAACGGACGATTGATGTGATAATCCATAGAATATCCTATTGGTGAATAGGGCGACCATAGAAGCAGATTCCATCCCTCATCCGGCTTTGCCTGACTGTTCCATCGCCTAGAAGTTCGTTGAGATCACGTGATGAGTGTGCCAACTCCCATCCTTCATCGAGTAATAAGGCATAGTGTGGGGTATAAAATATAGAAGATAACTATCTAGACATATTTCTGTTGAAGAAAGCAAGGAGACTATTTCTATGAAAACCCGAATTCAATATTCAAATTGTATCAGGAGAAAAGAAGCCCGAAAAAATCCGCATCAATTATGCATCAACCTATTATTTACCCAAAGAGCACTCACTCTGTTTACCTATCTGCTATATGTTAGCCTGTTATAAAACTCGCTGTTTTCTATAGAAGCAGTTTGAGAAGCCGGGAAGATCGAAATGATAGGGAACAGAGCATTATTCACAGAGCATATGTAGGCTAGTGGGTGCTCCAGTTATGGAGTGCGAGAGATGTAACGAGCCAAGAATCAATGTTCACAATTGGGCTCGAAGATTCTGGTGTTGAGGAAAGGAGACTGGGCACCTGCAAGATGATAAATGTTCATAGGAGGTGAGTAGAATAGTAGAACAGTCCTATGAACTGAAAACTCATAATACTCTCTTCAAGACGTTTGAAAATGGTTGGTAGAAATTATGAAAGAGAAAAGCCAAATGCCATCATATAAGCGGGGCTTTTGAAGCTAAAAAAGAAAATTTGAGAAAGTTCTAGTGTTGCGATGAGAGTATGGATTGCGGTTTCTGTGACCCGATTATTTTGTTACCACATTTATGGTGCACTCACTGGTATCGAGTGGTAAGAAAATATAAGTAGGTATGGGCAGCAAGAGTCATTGAAGCTGCGACGCACTTCGCCTTAACTATCGAACCCTGACACTTCTGCGGATGATGAAAAGCGTTTTGGAATAGTAGGTATTTGTATCAATATAATAGAAACTGTTAACGGCTGTTAAAGGCTGAGAAGAAGCTAATGAAGACGAGAACCATTGGGTTAGAGGCCTTTTTCGGAATGATAGTAGGAACTACAGACCGGTTAGTGAAGTGTGCGTTTTCACTTTTTCAAACGTAACTTCTTTAAAACGGCATCTTCACATCTGATTTCTCCACTGTAAATGCCTATCAATTAATGTGGTCAGAGAGCAAGTTTTCCGTCGCCTAAGTTAGTTGTGGAATATTTTGAAAGATTTCAATCAAAAAAAAAAGGGCCAAGCCCCATAATACCAGTGAAACTTCAATCTGCCCTAATTTACCATTTCTCAACTCAGCAACTTGCGTAAGAGCAAATATAACAAGAAAACATGAATGCTTCGTAGCATAACCTTTGGGATCAATGATCACTGGAAACGGCGCGGCATAGACTCGACGAGTTTGTCGATCTCTTCCTAAAGATGTTCTCCAATACATTCTTCAGTTGAGGGGCTTGCCGTGCTCGTTGTGAGCCCAGAGGTTTTGAGCTTGACACTCAGATCTGGAGATCGCAATGGCCACGGTGGCAGAGGAACGGAATCAGTTGGTGAGCAGCTTCGATGTGTGCTTCGGGTCACGGTACGTGGAAATTGAGACACCGGGGCCAGTACTGCGAACTAACGGGTAGAAAACAACCTCCATAATATTGGTGCACATCTTGGAATCCATCTTACCCTCGATACTTTAGAGTGGGCACAAACTTTTGCCACAGAAGCTGCCGTGAACCATCGCCGTGCCCCCACCATATTTCACGATTGGCAGTTGGTAACTTGCATGACATCTTGCACCGGTTGGACGTCACACAAACTTGACTTCACCCTTGCCGGATGGCAAAAACTTAGGTTTGTCACTTTGGATGGCCTTATACCACTGGTAGATTACACAGTTTCTGTGACCATGAGCCCAATCGAGAAGCGCTTTGCGATTTTTGGCAGAAATCAGCGGCTTCTTTGCTGGACGACGTCCAAACAAACCGGCCTCTTTCAGAAACGCGGAACTGTGTTCACGGATGGATTAGTCTCTCGGGCGTCGAGATTTCGCGAGTAATTTTGACGCGAGCCATTCCCTGCAAGCTGCACAACTTTTTGTCGACAAGATATAGCGTCATTTTCGCTGCCTCTGGTTGAATTTTGACTTCAGCTGACCCTGTGGCCTTTTGTTTTTTTTCCGAATCGTTTGTACGCACATCACAAGCAAACTTCGGGAACTCGCCTGGATGTTAAAGGCACTGTTTACGATAAAAAAGGTTACTGAGTTCTTCCCTTAGGAATACTCAGCGGCCCCCATGGGTGGTAGAAGGGACCCTCTCGCTCCCACAATCTCGGGGCTAAAGGCATAGTGGAAGCCCCGTTGTTGCCGTAGTTCGCGTTCCCGCCCCTCGATCGGTGTCACGTTAGACGAGTGTCGAGACAATACAGATTGCTATTATTCGTTCTAGGACCCACTCGCCGAGTGATGAGGCGATGTTTTTCTCCCATTCTTTTTCCCTCTTTTTTTTCTCTTTGCTGCCGCGATCCCTTATTTAATTTCCTACTCCTAGAGGCTGAAAAATGGGCTACTTTTGCTGTTACTAGGGTTTTTTTGTTTATTTATGCTTATAAGTGAATAAATTTTCGCTTACCATTGCCTGTTATTCGTTCCTGAGCCCACACGCGTGAAACACACTGTTTAGCTCGTCCGCACACCCTACTCTTCTACATTTTTCTGGTTTCATTCTCGTTCAGCCCCCTTTTTAACGGTTTTTGAAGCCTTTTTTCACTTTTGAAACACATATGCACGAAGTTTCTTCACCTCAGTCGCACTAGTTTCGATCTTGTCTTCCCTTTTTCATCATAATCTGGATTACCCAAAATTATTGTGAACGGTGCCTTTAACACGTTGATGACGATGTCGCGCAATGGTGCGCGACGGTGCATTCTTCGATTAAAGTGTGTGTGCTCGTTCCGTTTTTGTGCAGATTTTCAACTTA